GTTTAAATATTTCAATACATACATTTATTTTCTAAATAATCTTTCTTAAATGGCAGGCTAATGGCTGAGTAGATAAAACTACTAAACACTTGTAGTTGGTTGCAGGTTCATGTGTCATCAATAGACTAGCCATGTTCTGGGTTTTCTTCATTTGTTTAACATCTAAACAGAGGTCTTTTTCAAATAGAAAGCTCTCTTAGGTACCTAGCCTAGCCTTGAGTTATGTAAGTAGTAACAAAAGTGTTGAAATGATCACGTGATACCAATTCGATACCAATTCACTCTGTGAGACAATTCGCTGAAGGAGTTCATTACATATGATAGACCCAATATATTTGTGTTGCTGCTCATATAACTTGAGACTAAGCATCTCGAGAGGCCACCTCTTGGTAAATGCCAATGTGTTGCACAGCTTTATCCTATCATCCATTCATTCCTTAAAATATCACTCAATTTCTTTATTTAAAATAATGAAAAATTTTTATTATTGTATTGATAAATAAAGGAAGCTGCTCTCTTGTTAAGGCAAGCTTGCATTATGATGTATAAATTAAGAAATAAGTAAATTTAAATTTTAGCAAATTATCCTACATTTTTAACTTCTTTATATTTCTCTTAAAACTAAACAGTAAATGAGACCAACAGTACTAAACTATTTATATTGTTTTACATTAAGAATAAATAAGATCAACTTATTAGACAAAGATGTTCATTTATTATATATCAATAATTTTTAAGTAATTTTTGCTGACATTAAAATTAATATAAATCCATTTTATTATTTCAGAAATACTTTTGTGTAAAATCAAAGAAATGGATAAGGAAAAGGTAACAGTTGAAGATGAAAAACAGGAAGAATTAGACAAAATGGAGTCAGAAACTGTAGAAAGTCCAGTTCCTCTGTCTGGTGTTCCAAATGAAGGAAAGAAACCAACTTGCATAATTGTACTTGGAATGGCAGGTTCAGGAAAAACAACATGGGTTCAAGTATTTGCTTTTCCAAATTTAAATTAGTAATTATTAAATACTAAACCAAATAATCAGCATTTAGTATCGATGCTTCGGGATTTTTATTATAATTATTAAATAATTTTATAATTGAAATGGAATATTTTTAAAAATTTAACGTAAGATAACAACATTTACTTTTCATCTGTTTTATTTTAGTACTCGGAAATTTTCTTAATACAGTTTTAATATTTTTATGAATTTTTGTTTGCATCTTCAGATATCTAAAATTCATTAAAAGTTAAAGAAATGTAACAATTATATTCAATATAAATATACACTCAAAAATGAAATCGTCACACCACAAAGGAATGTGCATAGCTACATGCACATTGCAGGACCAGTACAAGTGAGAGAGATATACAAATGATTAAAAGAACAGACAAAGATTTGTTACTGAACAAACACCTGTTTATTCAGTAACAAATGTGGCCTCCATAGGCATACTATCAATGAGGCAATTAATGGTTTACTGAGGCATTCCTTGTCAAGCTGCATCTATTACTATGTACACATGTCTATGGTATGTGGCAGTGGTCTCTGGTGCACCTCACTCAGACGAGGTCCCATAGGTGTTCAGTGGAAGAAAGTTATGGTAAGGCTGCCAGCCAGGAAAGGAAGTGAATTCTGTTTTGGCTGGAGAGAGTTTGCCATTTTACATGTGGTCGGGCATGTCTTGCTGTCACATTATGTCAGCTGCGACCTATTCCAGTAGCCAAACTACAGGTCCCACAATTCGGTCCACTGTCAAGAGTACTGGAAATGTACACCAGGGCTGTCCACTGATCAAACGTGATGCCTCCCCAACCATGTTGCCTGGTGTGGAGCTGGTATGACAGCGTAAATAGCTGACACAGCATTCCCCAGGATACCACCACACTTGTCCATGACTATCGCTCCTCTACAGAGAGAAACAGGATTCATCCATAAACAATACCCAATGCCATCCAATGGTCAAGTTGTGATGAAAACGACACCAGGCCAGATGTGCCGCCCTGTGTCGAGTGGTTAATGGCACTCTTGTTGGTAGTTGCAGTGTTTACAGTCTGACTTCATTGTGAAAGTCCAAAACCCTTTTGTTTTAGAACAGTATCACCCCTCTAATAAACCTTGTGATTAGATGAAAAGGGAGCCTTCTGTGGTCGATGACCGAGATGATCTCCTCAAAAAAAATTGCTAGTATATCAATAAAAGAAATCTCCTCCATTTGTTTAAAGGTAATTCTTTAGATGTTAATATCAACAAGATGGGAATAAGAGATGTTTCTTATCCCCTCTTTGGTTGCATGTGACACGTGGTTACAGCAATAAATCGCCTTGTTCGTAGTCAAATGCGATGTTTAATATAAACAATATCTAGATTGTTGATCAGTTTACAGAAATTATTGTCAGCTGAATGTTAATTTATGGATGAGAGCCATCAAACCTATAGAAATTTATATTATAAAATCATATCTTCTAGACACTGATATCAATAAATTAAACAAACTTCTCTGTGCCAGTGGTCCGTACTAGCTAGATCCAGACATCAACACACGAATAGGTGTGCATATAAATCATTAATGATGTCATAGTTCTCACCCCCTCAAAAATAGTATAAAGAGGGCTTGGACGCAGTCCACAAGGCGAACACCTCCAGGGCGGACATCGACTGCTACATCTACTGACCCATACCGCCATAACTGCCGTGACGATCCAGGAACGTTTTTACCAACGACCCATATTACGGATCGGGAACTTAGAGGTATTTTTTTTGGATATCTATTTGTATACCCTCTCTCTGCGAAGTCTCTCTCCGAGAGGTCTCTCGTCTCTTAATTTAACTTAGAGAATAGAGATTACATGTTCCATATGAAAGACGAATCATTGTCGCGACGTAGAATAGAATTTTTGTAGCTCTTCGCCTTCGCCTTTGATATGTACAATTTTATAGTTGTTTATTAAATGTGTTATTCTTGTTCAACCTGTGTATTTATTTGGGAACCTGTCAACTTACCCATTAACCTCCCCACTCATTTCATTTTGCCCTCCTGTAAAGCCATCCTCTGACAGAGCCGCTGGTAAGTGGGGACAACTAACCCCCTCGGTTCTCACATCATGCACCCTGTTGTGAATGGTTTGGATGGTTTGGATGGACACAGATGCACTGAAACCTTCAGATGTCAGAGGCTGTGGCAAATGGGTTCCAATAGGCCATTTGGCAAATCTGCCAGTCTGTGCATTCTGTTCTGCTGGTGCAAATTCACTCCCTCTTTAGGGTGTTTGCAGATGTTCCTGCATCCATCATGTCATACATTGCTTCATGGTACTCACATCATGCCAATACGTGTGGCAACTGCATGCATCAACAAACAGTGGTTGTACAGCTCTAGGATATAGTTTCATTCCCCAGATGTAAACTGGTGTTATTCAGCTCACTGTCATCTCCAAGTCATTTTCTATACTTCTTCAAACATTCAGCTGCCATGAACCATTGCTAATAGTATTTATGGCCTAAGCTGGCTATTGATCTTTATAGCCTGAAACTGGATACTATATGACCCAATGCATATGCAAACTTAATTATTTGCATATCTCTGGCACTTCTACTGTTCCTGCAATTTACACATGGCTATGTGCATTCCTTTATAGTGTTGCAATGTCATTTTTGAAGACTGTATGTACAAATTACTTTATTAAATATGAGACCTGTTTGCATAATTTACTAGAATTGGGTAAAGTTACAAGCATTTATTCACTTTAAGTCTATTTTTTATAATCTGATTTTTGATTAAATTGATTAAATTATATTCTCTCTCATAAAAAAAAATATGGATCTTTTGTTACAGATTAATGTTGTTTCTGAAATAATTTAATATGGTGTATTAATATGTTTTAGAGAATTACTGCTCATCTACATTCTAGAAAATGTATGCCATATGTTGTTAATCTTGATCCAGCTTGTTTAGAAGTACCATACCCTGTGAATATTGGTAAGTTTACATAAATTTCTTGTATATTTATATAAATTATAGAACAGAAATTAAGTAAAAACTGATGAAAAACTTAAGTGATCAAGTTAAACAAATGATGAATAATGATGAATAATTTTTTATATTCAAAATTGAATCTGTTATAATATATAAATAGCTTTACATTTTTGTATCAAGAAATGCTTGCAACTACATAGTTACAATTTATTTAAGTCTTTCTCAAAAACAGAAAAAAAAAAGAATTATGAAGTGATATGATTCATAAACATTGATATAAATAAAATTTTGCTTACTTTGGAATTGCTTTGAAACTTAAGTTTCTTTTAAAAAACTTCAAGCATTTTCTAAATACAGTAGAGCCTCGATTATCCGACAGTCCTAGTCGGAAAGTTTCAAATGTCCGCTAGTGATGTGGTGCTACAATATTTGGCTATGTCTTGGCTTCTTTAATATTATTTTTATATGTCGGAAAGTTTCAAATGTCCGCTAGTGATGTGGTGCTACAATATTTGGCTATGTCTTGGCTTCTTTAATATTATTTTTATATGTCGGAAAGTTTCAAATGTCCGCTAGTGATGTGGTGCTACAATATTTGGCTATGTCTTGGCTTCTTTAATATTATTTTTATATGTCGGAAAGTTTCAAATGTCCGCTAGTGATGTGGTGC